ATTGACTCATTGACTCATTGACTCATTGACTCATTGACTCATTGACTCATTGACTCATTGACTCATTGACTCATTGACTCATTGACTCATTGACTCATGACTCATTGACTCATGACTCATTGACTCATGCGGCTCATTCGAATGTCTTTCTCGAAACTACGTACATTGGTCGGCTCTGAACATATATTACAATTGGTCGCGGCCCAAATGTTAGTCAGTAAAAGCGTTGCCAGTAAAAAAGATGAATCGAGAATGTGRTTAAACTTCACTGCATTTAATACAAGGGCGGATCCAGGGTTTTTTGAAGGGGGGGTCTCAGGGGTAAATTTTGTGGGCAAAGGAATCCCAGTCGCATTTTTACCACAGGAAGCCCATTTGACCTCAGGAATGACAGGGGGGTCGCGACCCCCCCGACCCTCCCCCTGGATCCGCCCTTGTAATATATACACACGTTTCGTCTTAGTTATYGGCGACGGCATTGGCTATTTGCTKAGTTAGCGGTTGAGTTGAGTTTGAGTTGAGTTTGAGTTGAGTTTGAGTTGAGTTTGAGTTGAGTTTGAGTTGAGTTTGAGTTGAGTTTGAGTTGAGTTTGAGTTGCGCGATGGGAGGCTTTTACCTGGTCTAGAAAATAATTCTAATTCCATTTTCCGTTGAAAATATGCTTTAAATTGTAAAATCGCCGAATGTTTACCATTCCACTTCACGTAAGTCTTTTTTTTATCAAACAATTGCCTTACAAGAGTTGTTGTTCATTTGGCTATCACCCCACATCTTTATTATGTGGTAATCTCACCTTATTTTGAAGCAAGTGTGAGCTGGTTTTCGGCGATGACTTTTTCGCAATTCAAAGTTTAAAATCATTGAAAACTTGCAGTTATAATTGCAGAAAGACATCTTAAACAATACGCCATCTTGGTTGGCAGATAGCCCAATGCTAAAAATACAGGGATCACGCACATACATAACATACATTGTAAAAGCATTGAGGCGAATGTGAAAAGCGCTGTTATGAGCACCACATCATTATGTTATTACAATTATAAATATGGTTCGTGTTCTTCTCGTGAACCTTTTGGACATGTTTACAA